ATATTTAAACAGCAAAATATGGTTTACACGTATAACAGTTAACAAAAAGGTTAAGCTAATAAACAGACTATATAGCAATAAAAGTTAAAAACTGGCAGTCATAATAAAAACAGACAGACAAATTGACAAAGAGTTCCCACTTGGTTGGCAACTTATCAATAGTCCGTCAGTGACAGGTATGCGTCAAGTTGATCCAGCAAAGTCAGGCGTCCCTGATCAACGCTGTTGGATTGAGCACCAACCAGGGAAGGTCCCTCAGTCAGGATCTGGTCCTTGCTCACACTGGAAGTCTGGAGTCCAGGCTTGGAACAGCAATGACCATTCTGTTCTGTCCTTCTTACTGGTCACCTGACGTGCATGTTCCTTTATATCCTGTCCTATGCTAATCTGTTGGCTTTAGAGCCACTCGCAATCTTACCCTACAGCTGTTACCCTATGGGGTTAAAAGGTGTTAGAAATTATTATAATAGGTTACTGGCTAAACTTGGGTTTACCCAATAATCAAATCACACCACATCACTTTGGGGTCTGAGATTAGCTTTTTTCCACGCCTAAATTCAATCTGCTTGGAATTTTTTGAAATGTGTTAATTATACCTTGTGGTCAGGTTTGCCAGTTTTACTGACCTTTAAGCAAAAATTGTTAAATCAGGTAAAGTTTGCAGTTTTATTTTCTAGTTCAGCTTCTTAGGGCCCATGTTAGTCTGATGATTGGTACAGACAGTTAATTTTAACATTATGGCTATGCTTCTGACAGACAGTCTGCAGAAAACAATCTTGCAAGCTTTGCCTTAGCTAATATTAACTATATGCTATTACCAGATACTTTCAAGAAGCAAATCTTTTTTTGCTATAAGTTGTTCTTTAACCCCTTTGGTTCTGGCTGTCACATCTGAGCTTGTTGAAAATTGCATTTTTGAAGTCCAAGACTTCAACCCTGCTATCAGATTTGTCTGCCTTGCAATGGACAGTGAACATGATGGTTTCATGGTCACTGTTGCCCAGGCCACCCTCTATTTTTGAGTCATTAACCCTATTTTTCAGACATTTACCTTTGATTCAGGAAATGCAGCCACATGCCTACAGTGGCTCAGGCCAGAAACTTGGGGTGGTAGAGCACAGTTCTCTGGCTGTGTGTTCATTTCCTCTTCTTACTGCCCCTGAGGTCCCTGGGATTTGCAGTCCAGAATTACAACAGCAGGATATTGCAGGATTGTTCATCACTTTCTCTTCTTGCTTCCAGGTGCCTCTGGGATTTCTAGTACACAGTTGCCGCCAGCAGTAAGTTTAAGCAGGGGAAGAGGTGTTTAATCCCCCTCCCTGGCCCCAGCCCCCAGCCAAGGTTTTTCTTGATTGGGGGGACACACAGTTTCCGCCCCCCATAGACTGGGCTGCATCCCCAGCCGGTCTTGCACCCCACTTCCCGTGCTTATCAGCCAGCACAGCTCGGGAGCAGAAGGATGGTGCCAGCCCTGCTCTTTGGAGCAGACAGCACAGCCCAGTCCAGGGCTGGAAAGCATGTTGGGATGCTTGGGGACTGTGATTTAACTTAAACCAGGAAGGGGTCTGGGACAGAATTTTCAATCAGTTAAGTCTAAAATAAATTCAACCAGGTTTATCTTAAACCAGTTTCAGCCATTTTGAAACTGGCTTATGTGCACTGTGCTTCTGTTCTGTTACAGGTTTAAACCAGTTTCTGATCACTTAAACTGGTTTCTATGTAACTTCTGCCCCTAGCCTCAAAGAGATTATAATACTTTTAATCTAATGGTTTCCATGAATTAGTAAGGATATAGTAGTCAGATTCCAAGACAGTCCATGTCATTGATACTTGTTCCAAAAGCTTGGGTCACAAAATAATACCTTTTTTTAAAATCAATTAGCCTAAATCACCAGTTATATTAAAGATCTTTTCCACCTTCCAGCCATTATAGTATACTATCCGCTGTATCTTCCTGAACAGCAACACCCAGAGTACTTTTGAGTTGCTGAGCCCCAGATTTTAGGCCCATTTTTCAATCAGAGCACTTGGAGCATGTCTGAGGAAAGAGAACTCAGTGTAGCTAAAATGCCTTTTTTCCCTCCAATTTTACAGCAGCTGAGACCACTGAGGCCCAAGCAATGAAGAAGCCAGCAGGCTTGGAGGCTTGCATTGTATCTCTGGGGTTGAGCATCATGCTGACAGGGAAAATGCAGATGTTTGTGGCTGCTTCTGGCATCTTCTTCCAGGGCACAGAGCCCTCCCTCAGGGCATTGATTTTTTTTTTTTAATGAAGTGTGGGGTGGCAGTGTGCATATGTATGTGTGTGTGGTGCTGATTTAGGCGATGAGGTTCAGAAAACACAGGAGCTGGTCTTGTTGGCTGGCTAAGGTATTTGTGTGCTGAACTACTGGTGGGAAGGTTGTGAGTGCAAGGCTGGGTTTTGGTCCAGAGACTCAGCTGGTAAGTGGGTTCCCAGTAGGCATGAGGATTTTTTTTTTTCACTAGGACACATGGTGAGCTGTGATGGGCCCCAGAACCAATCAGAGTAGTGCTAGGGCTCCGGTGCTGAAAGCTGCAGGGCTCACCATGGCATGCCGAAACCCTTCAAGGGTCTGAATTTTTAAAATTATTATTATTATGATTAAGTGTGGGGTGCTGGTGTGCATGTATGTGAGTGTGGTCCTGATCTAGGCAGGGAGGTGGGGAAGACCACAGTGCTGATCTTGCTGTATGGCTTAGAGCAGTAGTTGTCAACTGGGGGTATGCATACCCCTAGGGGTACTTAAAAAGTTTGTAGGAGGTACAGGGGGGCTCCTACTGCTGTGCGCACCCTGGCAGAGGCCCAAAGGGCACACGCCCCCCAATCTGTGTGTGCAGCAGAGGTGGTTGCTGCTGCCCACTGGGCTATATGTGCCACTGCAGCTGCGCCAGGAGCAGGACGATGCCACATGCCTGCTACGGGTGCGCTGCGCCCCCTGCCTGCCTGGGGGCGGGATACACATGGCATTGCACCGCTTCCCCAGTAATTTTAATATAAAGGGGTACATGAGCTGGAACTTTGAGACAGAAGGGGCACACTTGTTAAAAAAGGTTGAAAACCCCTGGCTTAAGGGTTTGCACACTGAGCTCCTAGCAAAACCAGTTGCAAGTTCAGCACTGGGTATATAGATCTCTGGTAGGCATGAGGAGAGCTTTTTTTCACCACGACACTTGGCAAACTGCGATGGTCCCAAGAACCAGTGGGATTAGTGCTGGGGCTAGGGGGTTGAAAGCTGCAGGGCTCACTGAATCCAAGATTTAGGCCTGTGCTTCAATCGGAGCACTCTGAGGAAGGCCAAAATGTTTTTTTTGTTTTTCAATTTTGGGGTACCTGAGGTTGTTGAGGCCAGAGCAGCAAAGCAGCCAGCAGGCCTGGAGGCTTGCATTGTATCTCTGGGGCTGAGCATCATGATGGCAGGGAAGAGGGGGATGTTTGTAGCTTCCTGTGGCCTCTTCTTTTGGGGTGCAGGGCTGTCCCTCAGGGCATTGAATTTTTTTTTTTTGAAGTGTGGAGGTGGTAGTTGCCTGTCAAGAATGATGGGGGGTGGGGGCAGGGGGGGGCTGCGATGGGGTGGCGCCACCTAATGCCCCATGCTGCCGCCATTCTGCCTCTTGCCTTCTGACCCCACCTCATCCAGTCCTTGGCGCCCCTTGCAGGGAGCAGGGTGGGGGAGCTGAGGCCAGAGCTCCTGGCCTTGGCTCCCGCACCCTCCGTCTAGTCCTTGGCATGGCTTCGGAATAATTGCGGCGCTTCTTCATGCTTGGAGCACTCCAATTGGCTGTTTCTGTCAGCCAATCATAGTACAAATAAAGCGTTATGGACAGACAGACAGACGTAGGCTTTTATAATATTAGAATGTGTGTGTGGTACTAGTCAGGCTGGGAAGCCTGACTAGTGCCTTCCCAGGTGCTGGTCTTGTGTTTTGGCTCAGGGGTTTGCATGCTAGAGTTGGGGTGGGAAAGCTATGAGCTCATGTCTGGGTGTGAGAACCCAGACTCAGCCAAGCAGTGGGTCCCTGGTGGGCATGAGGAATTTGTGTTTTCTCCCTGACATATGGTGAGCTGCAGCGGGCCCCAAAATCCATTGGACCAGTGCTAGGGCTGAAAGCTGCAGGACTTTGCTTACCACATCGAGCCCCAGGTTAGGCCCATGCTTCAATCGGAGCACTCGGGAGTGTTCCTGAGGAAGTAGAACTTGGTGTGGCCAAAATGTATTTTTTTTCTTTTTCAATTTTGGGGCAGCCAAAACCATTGAGACTCATTGTATTTCTGAGGCTGAGCATCATGATGGCAGGGAAAACAGGGGTGTTTGTGGCTTCCTGTGGCCTCTTCTTTTGAGGCACAGGGCTGTCCCTTAGGGCACTGAATTTTTTATTGTTTTAAATTTAGTGTGAGGTAGTGCTGGTCTAGGCTGGGAAGGCAGAGGTGTGCTAGTCTTGTTGCCTGGCTCAAGGGCTTGCATGCTGAGCTATCAGCAGGAAGGCTGTGAGTTCAGGTCTGGGTGTGGACCTAGAGATGTTGTTGGGAAGTATGCTCTTGCTAGGCACAAGGAAATCCTTTTTTTTTTTTTCAACCCAGCGCATGGCAAGCAGCTATGGGCCCCAGGATCTAAGGGTCCGGGGTTAAAAGCTGCTGCGTTGGGCCTGGCATACCAAAACACTTTGAAGTTAAAATGGACTCATGTTTTCTATTAACAGTACAAATGGAAATGTGGAGAGGTATTTTGATTAGAGTCTGGTCAATAAGGCTTCCCAAAACTACATTAATAGGTGTGTACTTGCTGAGAAGTTTTGTTTCTGTTCAACTTAGTACAGGGCTGAAGACACAAGAATCTTCACAAAATACTCCAAGGAAGAAAAAAAAACAACAAAAACCTCTGTTATGGCCAGAAAGAGGTGTCCTCTCTGTCTTAAAATAGAAGACATAAAGGAGTATTAAAATCAAACCAGGCCCAAGGACAAACTGCTTAATAATCATTGTCTAGTTCAGCATATTTTAATGTGGGTTGTTTTGTTTTAAACAGACAGAATAAGCATATCCAGGATGAACAAAACATCTGATGGAATTTTCTACTTGCGTCTTTGAAATCCATGTACTAGTTCAAGGAGGACCAATGTCCTATTTATTTTCATTTTTGAGTGCTAAATCTGCTTTATATGATCACTTGTCTATTGCAGTAATTCCAATGTTGGACTAACAACTGAACTTGTGCTAGTTTTTTTAAAGGACGCAAACCATTGTCATTATGCATCTTATACAGAAGACACTTAGTACTGAACTGTAACTGTGGTCAGAGAACTAATTTTGAATAATCGTGTTATAGGTTTGTCTTGTTGCTAATAATTCAACAGGCACAAGTGTATTGTAAGCACATAACTGTTAAGATGCACAATTGCCACAAACAGTTTACTTGAATACAGTAATAGCATTTAGCATTAGAGACGACTTTTAGACTCTTCTGCATTTGAATGATTTTCTAAATCCTGATAACCAGTTAGTCATGCACTGGACAGAAACTCTACAGCAGTTTCCTTTTCCTCAATCAACTCCTTTGCAGTCAGATCCATCTTCTCACGGGAGAAGTCATTAATGGGAAGGCCTTCAACAAACTTCCAGGTTTTGTCCTGTTTGAAGATAAAATTGCTTTGAGAATTAAAGTTCTGCTTATAAAAGCCACCAGCTTTGCAATTTAGGCACACTGGTGAAACAAGTGACACTTGTTAACATGACATCTGAAATGCAAATATTAAAACTTGACAAGACTTGCTCAAGTTGAAATGGAAACAGAGCAGATCTGATAAGTCTTTGGAGGTCCATTAGTGATATTGTTTCCCACCTAAATGAAAAATTCCATTTTAATTCTAAAACCTCAAGCTCTTACAAAATAACCATACAAACTTGCTTTTGTTAACAATGTATTTAGCATGAGAAATATGAAATGCAAGTCGTTTTACCTGAGGCAGTCTTAGGGACATTAACTTTGCTCTCACATGTAGTTTAGGCTAGAGAATGAGTTGCAGCGGTTTGTGTTTTTTTCCTCCCCATCCCCCAACTTCAGGTTGCTTTTCTGTAGTATAGCTTGTCAGATAGCTGCAAACTAGCGAGAGTAATGTGCCTCTCTCATTAGGCAGATGCATCTTGAAAACCTGCTCCCCAGCAACCATGGCCCAAACAGTACAGAAACTTTTGTATAAAGACCACCTTTAGATTTAAATGAAGACTAGTTACCTTGATTACAACAGGGAATGAATAGAGCAAGTCCTCAGGAACACCATAGGAATTGCCATCAGAAATTACTCCCATGGAAACAAATTCCCCCTGAAAACAGAACAGTTAGTGATAAATAGCTCTCCTTTATAACAGGCACACTGCTGGGGGACAGGGTGGGAGGGGGGAAGGGCGACAGGGGGTAAAGTCTATGCTATGGAAAGAAAGCTTTAACAAGTGATACCATATTTTCTCATATGTAACACTTGCTGACATATAAAAACCACACACCTTATTTCTGAAGGCCCCCAGAAAGAAAAAAAAAATTACCTTGAAGTATGGTTAAATACCAGAGGTCTGGACTCTCTAGAGCAGAGGACTGTACACTAAGACTGTGGGCTGCCTGTCTGGGCCGGGGCCTAATCTGGTACGTAGCTCCAGCACTGGCTCTGGGGCCACGTGTTGGCTCTAGAGCCATGTACTAGGTCCAGGGTAATATGTTGGGTCAGATCCAGTGCACCACGTCTGGCTGCAGACTAACCCTGTGTGGTACCCCGATCCTGCACATGGCTGGAAAGGAGGACAACACCTGGGTTCAAAAATTTGGAGGTGAGAAAGGGGAAGGAGGGAATGGTTACAGTGTTTTAATTACCAGGGCTCCCAGAGCCACAACAATGCTGCCACTAGTCTGCCCTGCCGCTCCCCTCCAAGTTTCTGGACCCACAGGGAACCTTTTTTCCTTGCATCCAGCTGATCTTGAGGGACGGTGGGAGGGAGGAGGTACAGCTTACATGCAGAAAACCACAGCATTTTTCTGTCACTTATGAATTAAGAAATAAGCCAATGTTATTACAGAAGTACATTAGGTAAAGAGTTTGATACAGTCAAGAGCCACATCTTACCTCTGGAGTGCCAAACCAGATGTCCCTCACATGATCACAGATAGCTTTAGCAGCTGACATCGCACTGGACAGCTTCCTAGCCTTAATAACAGCTCCACCACGTTGCTGAACAGTCTGCAGTGGAGAAAAGGCGGGGGAACCGCCACAAACTGTTATACATCCGTCATTTATGTCTCTTTAATGTCAAAAGGCTTGATCAGCAAAACAGTACCTTTGCCATCTAGCAGATGTAACATTAGGGAATAAAAACCTATCAGTCTTCAATCTCCCTCAAAGGAAGGTAGTCCAAAAACATGACTCAACTCAAGATGAATTAAGCTAGACACAGAACCCTCCAAACGAGCAAATGTGATAGTAAAGAGTTAAGGTGTTCTTCCAGAGAATTTAAAAAACTTGCTGGTCGTAGGTCCTGGCTATACTTGTTTTGTGGCTAAAGATCTGTCCCACAGGACTATCAGCGTAGGATACTTCACAAGCACTAGATTCAATCATATTTAATGCACATCAAGCATCTTGAACTGAAGCTAGTACAGTAAATCTGTCTTTAAATACTGGAAAATTTTACAGGATACATTAGCTGGTAAGCAGGTCTTGGTCCTTTGCCAAACACAACATTCATACCATCAATCAATGTATTTAGTTTTACACTCGCACACAAGTCTTCTGACACTGCCTAAAGATCCTTTTTATCCCCTGAAGTATTCTGCTACAGGATTGTCTCAAGGGGGAAACCACCCCCTCCCAGAAACCAAAACCACCATGCTTTCAGAATCATAGTAAAACAGGCATTTCTGGAACATTAAATGAAAAAACAGGCACTTTGTTCATGAACAGCTAAAGTTTGGCAATTGGCTCCATACCACTTAGATCCCAAGGCATCCTCTATGTAAGAACCGCCATTCACTGTGTCAGACCAATAGGTCCATCTTGCCCAGTATCCTGTGTCACAAAGTGACAAAGAGTGGATGCTGAAAGGGGGAGTGAACTGGATATGACAAGGATTTTTTCTACTATTCCTCTCCCACTTGCATCCTCCAGTATATAGGATCTAGGAAGTTCCGATTCAGAGGTTGCACCCTTAACTCCCATACCCACTAGCTACTAATGCACTTTTCCTCCAATAAAATTGTCCAATCCCTTTTTGAATCTGGCTAAACTGTCAGCTTACACAATAACTTGGAAGCAAGGACCTCAAAACTTTCCTAATATCTCCTTGGGTGAAAGCTCTCTCATCTGGTCAGAAGGCTTTGTCCGAGTTGTCTTACAACATACGTAAGAGATCAAATGGATTGCCTGTCCCACCAATATGCTTTTTCCATTTAAAGTGGTGATGGCTAAAGCAAATACAATAGAAACAAGAGGCTGAACCTCATCACCTTAGAGACCAAACAGACAAGTAACAAATGGACCAAGAAATGAGACAAAGTAGAATTTGAATTGCTTGTTGTTCCCAGTCTGTACTGAGAAGGTCAGACCTTAGCCTGTTAGGAAATGGCACCTTTTAAGAGGGATCCTCTAGTGATGATCAGTTATTCAGAGAGGATAACTTTACAGACTAAAGTGCCAAAGAATTACTGAAAAGTCAACTGTCTTCTTCCAAAGATATCAAAGCTGGCATGTCAGATGACACCCAGTGCCAGCAACTTTAAAGGTTCAATATTTATTTCAGTGCTGATCATTTTAGTATAAAAATCCAGCTAGCTTGCTTAAATGTAATAAGATTTGTGACAGTGAGCTCTACAGGAACAGGGCTGTGAATTCTAAAGATGTAAATAAGACACCAGACAAGCTATCTAAAAAGAAAATTCTAGGACTGGAAGATCCACTTTGCTAAGGCTGTGGATGTTGGCTATCTAACACTAATTTGACTCTGTAGAATAAATAATTAAAAAGAAAGCAGAAACCCATTACTACAAGATCATTAATAAAACAGAAATCCTTACTGTGATAAAGTCACCCTTCAGCCAGCTGTCATCCTTTATAGCTTCATAAACTCCAACTTCTTTTCCTTGCAGGTTTACCTTGGCATGGTTAACATCTGGGTATTGAGTGGAGGAGTGATTCCCCCAGATGATGACATTCTTCACATCATTAGCAGACACACCAAGTCTCAGAGCAATCTAGTTTGAATGTAGGAAAGACATGGCTCATACTAATCTGAGATTTACAATTCATTATTTAAGTAATGTATTGCTTTTACAGGAAGCGTTGCTTTTAAAAAGACACCTATTTGGCAGACTTTGTAAGTTATTCTAGCCCTGCTTACCTGGGATTTAGCTCTGTTGTGGTCCAAACGAGTTAAACAGCTGAAGTTTTCCTTTGGTATCGATGGAGCAGACTTTGAAGCAATCAGGCAGTTGGTATTTGCTGGGTTTCCAACCACTACAACCTAGCAAGGAAACAAAGGGAAAGAAATTTGCTCTTTAGCTAAGGTACAAGGTTTTGCAAATCAGCTTCCTTGAGCTGGATACAAAATAGTCAGCATTTGTCAAGACAAGGCATTCCTCCAAAGAACCTGTCAGGAACTTAAAATTTCCAAGCCTTTTGGTATCTGCTTGCAACATAACTTTTTGGCTGCAATCCTGTGTGTAGTCACTCATTTTAAAACCTTTTTATTTAAAGGTGCATATAACACTACTTTAAGGGCAATATTTTAAGTGATTATGTAAAACGTAGTGCTACTTCACTGCTATGACTCTGTAACACACAAGATAGCAGAATTCTGGAGGTCAGTGCCACTGAAATACAGTCTGGTTATACCACCAAATTATAATCTGAATACAGAAAGAGTACAGATTTGTCACTAGTCAGCTATCTACTTGTCCCTCTCACGATTAACATTTCTTATTTTAAAAAGTAGTTACCCCAAGTAACATTGCTTTACATAATCAGTTTTACACTTAGAAGTGAGCCAAAACAGCTATTTGTCTCTGCAATCCTCAGGTGAGATTTGATTGTCAAATATAGTACCTCAGATCTTTTTGTCAACATGGAAGAACCATTTTTTTCCTCTGTCTCAATGTCAAGCTCACATAGCCTTAATCAAGTGAACTGATCTGGCTTTGTTTTTCCTTTCTGACACTAACTTGGGGCGGAAACTTAATGAAGAGTCTGTTGTATTGGAAATTTTATTCTAACGGTAGAAAAAGTAGTAAACAGGCTGTTAGAATCAGCAGAGGAAAAAAGTTAAAAAGCACAGCAGGAGCATGAGTCTGAGGTTAGAAGCTGTAGGAGAGGAGCTGCATGACTTCATTCACTGCTCTGAATGTTTTAGAGGAATTTGAGAGGAAAAACCATTAAAAGCCTCCAATACTACGAATAAAAACACCTGAGCAGCATAACTTGAAGTCCCTTCTTATTTTGTATGACCTTTGTGACATTTACTTCAAAACATTGCTAATGAAATCATTAGGTTAAAGCTACAGATATATCAAGTGCAGCCATGTTTGCATAGTGAACAGTTTGTTAATTCACCTGAATGAGACACCAGCTTCTCTCATGCTACCAGAGCCATGCATGTCTGTAAAATAAACTGCATGTTCCTACGTATCTGATGATTCACCTTGTTTCAGCGGACAGACTATGATCATCCCCCAAAATTAACTACTAGCCTAATGGAATATCTTCTTCTCGCTTTGATCACTATGACACAGTCAAGATGTAAAGGAAGCATGATTTGTATGAAGAAGATTTGTACTCAAGTTAAATAAACTGTAGAATCGTAGAAATTAAGGACTGGGACCTCAAAAGATAGAGTCCAACCCCCCCATTCTGGGCAGGAATACTGCTGAGACCAAATGATTCCAGCAAGGTTGGGGACTGCACCACCTTCTTGGTTAAGTCTATTCCAGATTCTGGTTACCCTAAATGTAAAGTGTATGCATTTGTGAGACTCCTTATGTAGGGTTGTTGTTCTATTCAGACTGACTACCAATATATATTGTAAGGCTTACAATATATATTGTAAGGCTAGAAAGGGTACTTTCCTCTCCATATTAGGCTGTACTTTTTTGCCTAAAATGTGCATCAGTGGAGGAACTTAATGCTTCACAGCAGAGGTATAACTACTGGTTGAGTTTGCTCCCAAGGAAAGTGATTGTGCAAAGCAGTGATTTAAAAGCTACAATTTGGCAGCCAGAAACAGAAGGGAGAAGGCTAGCCCTCTTCAACAACTCCTGCTGCAGCAGTGACTTTTCCTGGGAGCAAATCTCTGCCCTCCCTTCCTACTTCACACCTGGCTGCCACTGAAGGGAAGGTTCAGACTATAGGAATGGGAAAGGAAGGATGAGGTGCTCCTGGGCTTCCATTCCAGCACATATTCTATAGGCAGTTCCCAATGCTTTTGCCCCACTCACTTATCCGTAGTTATGCTACTATTTCACAGCAATCAAGCAAAAACAAACTACGCAGCAAAGGACATCTTCCTTTGCAGGGTCTGCTTTGGTCCCTTGCTCCTGTATATTTTACAGAACTTTTTTTTCTTCCAGATTTAGGAGCAATTTTATTTTCCGGTTTCACAAGGTTTTTCTAACCAGAGAACTCTCTGTTGTTGCTTTTTAAGCTGTTCACTGAAAAGAGTTACTAGTTTGAATTTCATTTTTTTCCTAAGTTTCTCTACTCACTTTGACAGTCTTCTTGGCATACTTGTCCAAAGCTGTACCTTGGGACTTAAAAATTTTCACATTTGCTTTGAGTAAATCTTTCCTCTCCATGCCCTCTCTCCTTGGCATGGAGCCAACAAGAATTGCTATATCAAGATCTTTAAATGCAACTTCTTCTTTGTCTGTTGCAATGACCTCTGTAAGAAAAGGGGGAAGACAGATTAAGTGGTTAACTTATTTTTGTTTTTACCACATAATTTAGAATTTGATGTTAAAGGGGATTGTCCAGTCAGGAAGCTGTGATAAAAAGACCTCCAGAAGACAGATATCTACACTTACTAGTTTGACACACTGTTTTAAATGGACATCTCAGTTAAACACCCATTACTATTTCCATACATTAAAAACTTTGATAGGTGTTAACCTGCTAAAATGATAAAATTATCATCTCCCATTCATTTTCTTCTTCCTTCTATCCATATGATGCATCAACACTCCCTCTTTACCCCTCCCAATCAATTAAGTGGAATTTAATTTTTGTGGGTATGATAGCAAGCATTAAATATACTTTCCAGATTTATGTGGTTTTTTTACTCCTGAAACCCTGTCCAGTCTGCATTCAATATATTAATGGAGGAAGAAACTTAATTTTTGCCATCTAATATAGCTATAGTAGTGCCCATTAGCTAGCTTTCTCCCACTAAAGTAGACTGTTCAAGAATCCTGGTTTGTTAGACAAAAGTTCATCAGCTGTCAATTATGTTCTCCACCAATTACTTGTCAGGGGTCAGGCAGAACATTTGAGTTGTTCACCTTCTTTCAGTAAGTACACAGGTATGTCAAGAGTCAAAGCATAGTTAGTACTATGCTAGGAGCCATGGCATGCTAATACGTGCAGTCATTCGCTTGTCAGATGTAGACTGCACAATTTATATTTGAGATGGATAATATAGTCCAAGGGTCCAGGGGCTGCATATCCAAATATCAGTTTTGTATACGAAACTTATCTGGAGAAGTGATCATCAATTTCTTAAGGTTCATAGGCTAGATTCAGTCAGTTCACCTTAATGTATATTCATAGCCAAAAGAACAGAAGGGATAGCTGTGATATCCAGTATCATGTCCTGTCTAGCACAGGTCATGGGAAATCCCCAAAGTTGGAAAGTGTCTTTTGGAACAGTCTATTCCTTTCGTCACCTCTCAGAAGTGGAAGAGCACAATCTTGTAGTTCCATCACTACGCCATCCAATACAGTCATCATGGGAGTGATATCCAGTAGTACAAGGAAAAGGGGCTGGAAAAAAAAATGCAGATGTATCAGTGTGAACTAAGGAATTTAAAACAAGTGGTGTTAAACTTTACTAATACCTGCTGGACAGGTGGGAGAGCAAGACAGATCATTTAAAAGGCTCTGACAAATTGAAGTATTATGACTCGTCACCAAATCCAGATAGCACAATACAAGATAACAGAAGGCTCTGTTTTGTCCCTTCAAACCTAGTGTACTTTGAGAATAACTTATATCATTGTGAGAAATCTGAAGATTTATAATAAAATGTAACTCAAGTTTACCTGGAGTCTCATATTTTACAAACTGTAATCCTGACATTATCACTGAACCAAGAAAACTAATTAAGTTTAACTCTTACCTGATCTTTGCCAAAGACATCACCCTTTGCAATGCTGTAGAGCAGAGAGTAAGCAATCTGGCCTGCAGCTCCAGTCACTAGGACTCTAATTGGTTCCGACTATAAAACAAACAAACAAACCACTAAGACTTAACACAGTGCTGGCTAATCAAGTTTACCATGATTAAAGAATCATTAAGCACTAGTGATTCTTTATTGGAGAGACCACTGAAAATATACATATTCTTATGTCCTGAAGTATTCAACAAACTTGGCAGAGGGCCAGATCCCAGGAGTCTGCCTCTGTTGAAACCAGTGGCAACACTCCCACGTGTCCTCAGCCGGAATAGACTAGACCTGCAAAGAAGTAGTGCCAAGACAACTCTTGAAATATTTCCAATCCTGGGGCTTCAAAGGCTTGGCTGTACTTTTCCAGATGAAGTATTGGGATTATTTTTTAAATATAGGCCTGAAAAATTATATCAAATTAATTAAAAACACTTTTTGTTATAATTATTTTGTTTTTGAATTTAACTGTCTTTCCCATGCAGCATTCAGAAGCTGAGCGCTGAAGCATCAGACTAGTGTTACATAACCAGAAGATGAGGCCATATAGGAGCAGTCTATTTTCACCTCGTAAAATGAAGTAGTAATCAACATAGATTATTAGTTTGAAGGCATACATAGTTTCATTCACTCCTACGTTAATCTTATGCATAGATCAATTTATTAAAGCATTAAAGCTGAATCATTTAACTGACTGTTACACGTGCATTTGTATGCACCTCTTGAATGTTTCCTACTATTTGCAGAATGACAAGTTCTCTCACAAAATGTTGTTATACCACAAACTTAAGTAAAAAGGTGAAAATGGTCTTAAAAGTGACCACAAATAAAGACAGTGGTATTATCCAGTTCTAAAGCAGTCTTCTTCTGGTCCAAGTGTTTTTCTGCAACGACTATATAGTGACTATGGCCAGATTACAGAACTGTATAAGTAAGTTAGAAGATAGTTCAGGTTGCATAATGCTATGCATCAAATATTAGAACATAGCCTTCAGTATGACATTTCTAATGAGCTTGATTCTTTCCCATACAGGGAAATAAGTGATGGAGGCATTCTTCCACAAGGAACTGGACTGCTAATATACTATTTCAGTAGCCCATCAGGAAAAAAGGAAGCATGCCAGAGGGTAAGATTCTAATAATATCTGGTACCCAGATCCTCTAAATTAGATACTCAGGTAAGAACTTACTTTGACGTGATAAGAAATGAGTGCTATAGAACTTCTGGCAAAACAAAGATGACTTCAAACTAGTTCTTTATTTCCCTTGGTCTGTAGAACACGTGAGCAAGTGGGGCAGGTGGCTGTGGGCCAGGTGGCCACTTGCTGTGGCTGAAGTGGCAAAAACAGGGGCAGGCCAAGTGGCCACTTGCCTCCCTGCTGCCTAGAGCCATGTTCACTTGGGCCACAGGGTCCTGATTCCTGTGGCAGGCCCTGATCACCCTGGCTCCATCTCCACCCCTGGATGAAGAGCCTCCGCAAACTGGAACTGGCACACAGGCTATGTGTCTGACATTCCTGCTTTAGCATACCAAAAGCAGAGAGAAGACATGGAATAAGATAACAGTCACAAAATTGGCCTGGAGCACAAAGCAGGTTTTACAATCTAGCACTGGCAAACAAGAGTCAGCTTCCCTCCCTAGACTTCTCCCAAACACAGTTTTTTTCTATTTTAGGATCTGGATTTTTAAGGGGGAAAAAAAAACAAATAAGCGTGGCCACAACAATAAAATCACAAAGTTTTATGGCAACACTGGGCAAATGAAGTTACTTTTAAGTATTTTTCCCCCCTTAAATTAGCACTCTCTCAGATTGATAGTACTCCTTTATCAAGAGGGACTAGTCAAAAGAAGGAAACCAGCCTCTCTCATAAAAGACACTTGCATATAGGCCAATCATTTTAATCCATGACTTGGCTACCGCATTTTGATAAGAATGTTTTCATGGTCTGGTAAGTATAAAGGTGACCTTTAGTCACTGCCAGTTTTAATATGAAATGGAGAGTAAGTTACACTGACATTAGGTTGCATAGTTTCAAATGTATACCCTCCAACACATGCACCCCTTTGCTACGTGATGTTTAAAAGTGCAAAGGAACCAGAAAGTGGCATGAAAGATTTAGCACTCTATATGGAAAAAATAAATATTCAAGGGAGTGGGGTGGGAAGGGGAAACTGCATCTTATTATAGGACTGTGTACAGGACCCTTATATATCCCCTGACAGCTTCTAAAAATTCCATGATTATAGAATTCCAATGGAGAAAATATCTTATTTGCCTATAAAAGAAAGATGCAAACCTCCAGTGACACAATGCAATAGTCCATATCCCGATTCTGCTTTGAAGTTTAGGACTTAAAATTTCAATCTAAGTGAAATTCCTGAACTAGCAGCAGATTTAGGACTTTTATCAGAATTGGTGCAGAAGTGCTGTTTTACAAAATAGACTGATAAAACAAAAAATAGCCAACTATGCTGCAGGTGGCTACAAACGTTATTTAGACGCATCAGACTGTCCTCTATCAAAAGGCATGTTGGGGAACAGAAGAACTTTGCGCCACCTGCACAAAGGTGCGAACTTTGCGCCACCTGCACAAAGGTGCGAACTTTGCATTAGTACTTAAGTTAGATAGGCAAGGTCTTGCACAAGGTTGAAAACTTACTTGGCTCAACAGGCAGGGAGAAAGGGTTAGGAGAGTGGTCTGTGTACACTTCAAGTATATTCTTTGCAAGCTGCTGCTAGATTTGAATGCTTCATTTAGTAGAGTATTGCTGCAGCTGCATTTACTTGCCTTTGAGCAGTCTTCAAACTTTTTAGACCAAAGGCAAATACTGGCCCTTAGTTTCTGCTCATTTTTGACTGCAGAACAATAGTAGAAAAAAATCCCTCAGAAAGCCCACAAGCGGGAGCCTGTGCTTCCTTGGGGACAAGTAGCAGTGTTATCCCTGGAGTCCTGTGGAGCTGCAACCACAGCGCTCTTATAGCAGAGAGCCTAGCCAGGAGCCAGAGCATGGCTCCCACCAGCCAGGCTCTGGTTTTGGGCAGTGTACGCTGCTGCCATATGCACTGCCCTGCTTTCTTTTAGCATGGGTTTTTTGACCCCAGGCTCTCCCAGGGTCAAGAAAAGAGCCCCGCATACAAAGCAGCAGCACGGGGAATGCCTGCATGCGTGGTGTGTGGCACTGCAGATGGGACTGCGGTGCCATATACTGCATGTCCACACACACCTAGACATGCCCCAACAGGCCAGAAGACTTTTTGACACACTGGGCATCTGCTTCGCCTCAAGGTGCCCCTCAGAAAACATGGGGGGAATTGTTTTCACTTGCTTTTTGGAAGATGAGCAGAGCAAGTCTTCTGGGTGAAGGAGCTGCAAAAGGCTGCAGAGGATCAGGAAGTTTTTAACCCAGGGACGGATCTCGCACACCCATCCAGCATGCCCCACCCCACAAAAGCTAGAGGTGCCCCAGATGCACCACTCCTTGCCCCCCCCCACCACTCCCCAGAGCCTCTAGAAACCTGCAGCGCCCCAGCCAGGGGCCGCCCTCTCAGAGGACACCGAGACAAAGGTCACCCCGGCCCTGGGGTCACCTTCCCCCTCCCACACTAGGGGGGTGGGGGGAGGGGCTGCACACGGCCCGGGAGTCTCAGCGGTCGCGGCTGCGTGGATGCAGTCACCGCGAGGCGGAGGGGCGCCCGTGGTACTGACCATGGTTGGGGGATGCGGCGACAAGTCCTAGCGCGGCGCTACCTCAGGGTCACCTCTAGCGACAATCACAACGACGGCAGCAGCGCAGCGCGGGAGGTATTAATGGAGCGACGGGGACGAACCTGCCGACGGCACCACCACCGCGCACGTGCGCAGCTGCCTGGGTCTTGTAGTCTCCGCCCGCGCCGCCCGCCCTCTGCCCGGCTTGCAGCTTCTCCCGACCGGGAACTACATCTCCCAGCATGCCTCGGGGCCGCCCACAGTGGGAGAGCGGGGCGCTGGGAGATGAGTGGCAGGGCCGGTGGCCGAGTCCCTATCCCGCCCCTTTCGCAAAGGCGCGCGGCCCTTCTGCAGTGACGTTAGGGTCACGGCGAAGGACGACCATCCCGACTTCCGCCGGGGGACACTACCCCGTGGTTGCGCATGCGCCTGGAGGAGGCGGATGCAGTAGGAAGGGGGAGGGGCTGCGCGTGCGCCGGGGAGCTGCTTCGCTGGTTGCCACGCGACCGGGGGGCTGCGCGCGCGGGAGCAGTTGGCGGTTGATACTCTTGCTCTGCTCCTCGCGTGCCACCTGCCCCCCATTGCCAGCACTGCCCGGTGGGTTCAGCTGCCCCGCGTGGGCCCGGGCGGGGCGGGCGAGCGGGCGGGGCTCGGTGCCCAGCGCCGTGGCACTGGTTGCTGCCCCGTGTCAGAGCCGCTGCCCCTGCTGCTCGGGCGGCGCTGGCAGCCGAGTGGTAGAGCTGGGGCCGTGGCAGCCAGCGCGGGGCCGGGCCAGGGACCGGGCAGAGTAGCGCTGCAGGCCGGGCCTGTCCCACGGGCCGTGCGTTTGCCCCCCCCGCCCGGCGCAGGAGGACCAGCTCTGGGGTAGTCCCGGGTTTTCCTGCAGGATTGCGGTCTAGCTTGCAGGGACCACTGTCCTGAGTGGCTTCGCCATTCCAGCCTCCTGTGGGCCCTGAGCATCCCACCTCTCTGGGCGTGGCTGATTGTGCAGGCGTCACTGATGCTGTTCTCGTTAGATGTCAACTGTTACAAAACCCTGTGTGGACTCACTGCTGGATTTTACACCTGGCATCATCCGTTTAATTCAAATGGATGGCTGACCGATTAGTAGCTAAATCAATAGCCAGGGGCTGTAAACTCATTTAAGTGCATCCATGCAGTACATGGCATGGCTTTAATGTAGGATCTATTCAGTGATAGACTTTAGTTAAATCAGCGGCTCTGTCTTGTTTAGATAAAGGCTCTATTTTCATTCCCAGCACTTATCTCCTGTCCCTGGCATTGTTGTGCTCACACTTTACGATACCTTTTGTTTTAAAACTGATTGAATTAAACCCATGCAAAGTCCTGTGGAGGCACCTCACCTCGGTTTCAGTGTAGCCTAATGTGGTTCCCAGTAAACATCCACAAAACCTTTTGTACCGATTTACTCAAGTACATCTTAAGTTTTCACCTGTAAACTGGTGAAACTCTTCAAGTTAGCAAACCCTCCTAATACTAGATTGTACTACCTCTGTATGGTTTTTTGCTGCTTAGGCCTTAAATTTAGAATTTTTTACTTTTCTGCTTTTCATGGTTTTGTTACCATTGGGCACCATAGTGTAGTGTCTTTTTATAGACAACTTTCCTCCTAAGTAGTTCTCATGTTAAATCTTTTAAGTTATCTTCAAATTGTTATTTTTCTTTTTTGATATTGTAAAATTTTAGTTGATGCAATAAGATATTGTGCATCCTGGTCTTCAGGGAGCCTTCTCATCAGCCATTCCAAGCAATGCATAATCAAGCAGCACATCTAGTTTTTCTTTTCTCTGCCTTGCTAGTCCTCCTTTCCCCGATGTCCAAGCTACTCGGTATTGGAATGTTTAGTGCTACATTTCATACTGATGTTCTGCTTATCCTTTTTATGTATGGCTCTTAATGTACTCCTTGTATTTAGGGTTGTACAGTTTTCTTGTTCATAGAAAAATGGCAATGGAAGAATAGGATGGCCTCCATGTTTAAGATCCAGTTCTTTGAAAGTTTTCTTTCCTGTTTTTGACACTTTTATTATTGTAAATGTTACCTCACAACCCATTTTGTTGCTAGTACTATTCCAGTTATGTGTAGGTTTTCTTTTAGAGAGCCCAATATTTTGTATCTGAGATGGCCACTTGACATGGGTTTGGCTCAGTTTTTGTTTATTCTTTAGTTTGTTACTGTGTTTTTCTTTTATCTATCACTGTGGGTCAAAGGTGCTGTACTAATAATGAATAAAATATAATTGATGGGAGCTATGTGTGCATATAAATTAGGCTTATACTAAAAAGTGTATTTTACTTTACCTTTGCAAAAGAGATTCACACTTAAAAGTGATACCACTTGGAGGGTGGAAAATGCTAATTGAAACATTTTAATTTGAGGTCTGTCTTTTTGAGTTAATAGTTAATTAACTTTTTAAGCCTATGATGCCAGAGCCATCCTCTCCATTTTCTTATTTTTTTTAAATGGACTTGTTCTCTGTTAACAGCTGCCTGTGTGCTTTAACTCCTATTTTGGATGGGATTTTCTTTTTCTTCACTGTCACCCACTGAAATTGATGAGATTTTTTTTTAGGTAAGTTAATCCATATTTCCAGTAATTCATGAAGTTACATTCGGCTCCTGCATTTACTTTTAGAATGTTTGAAAAAAATGTTAACAATAGAAACATGCAAATAATTCCACAGGTTTTATTCTCTTAAGATAGTTTTAACTACATACAATAAAATTCAGCGTGTTCAGCTATTGTCAGTTAGTTGCAGCAAAGCAGTTTGGGATGCCCAGTCTGGATTGCCTGAGTCAAGAGAAGAGAGTCAAAACAAAGACAAAATCAATACAATAAGAAATAATTTTAAAGAACTCCAACATTAAATAGGTCCTGAATAATTTAGGAAAATATATTGGAGGAAAATATTTCAGGTAGTGTTTGTACTTACTGTGAAAGTCTCGTATTTAGTTCTAGTTTTTCACAGTTCATGTTCATAACATCAGTAGGGAGGCTGCATAAGCATAAAAGATGTAGTGAAATCTAGTTACATAAACATTCTTTTAAAGAGTACTGAATTGTTTCATGTATTTCATTGGACTTTCACTTTTGCTTATAAGAAAATGGATTGCATTTTATCTTAAGGCTCCATTTTTATAAAGTTAATAAATGACATTTTAATAAATGGTTAATTAACATTGGGGAATGGTTCTGGATTTTTATAGTGTCCAACTGGTCAATTGATTGCTTTTAAGCAAACATTTGAAACAATCTAGTGATGCACCTTTTAAATATTTGTAACATATACAACTCATATCTTATAACCTGCTTATAACATCTATTAATCATATTTATATACTATTTATGAATGGAAACTTAAAATTAATTGTATCCAAGAAATGTTTGTCCTTTTCCTTTCTCTCCCCACTGCTAGCAATGCTAGTTCCTAGTATCTCTTTGATCCTTAAACTATTAACCTCCTTCTCATCTTCTCTGTTTAGTCTTCTCTGTTTAGAGGTGCACCAATACATTGCTCTAATATCAGATTGGCACCAATGTATAGAAAATTGATTGTATCGGAAATTGGCCTGATGTAGCTAATAATTTGGCAGATAAATATCTGCGTGTGCAGCCTGTCCCATATAAGCTTCAGCACAGCACATAGGCAGTGAGCAGCACAGCCCGGTAACTTGGAGAGGAGCACAGCCTGGCAGGGACTGGGGCAAGTGCTGCCCAGCTGGGACAGCACAGGTGCGGGATAGAGCTGTGGCACGTCCAGGGGATGTGGGGAGGGGAGGGGAGGGGTGGCTCCTGCTGCTGCGTGCCCTTCATCTGGGAGCCACTTGTCTGGTGCTCGTCCAGTGGCTCCTGCTGCTGCTCCTGCCACTTGTCCAGGGGGGACATGTGACCCAAGATCTACATGGGGCGGGCTGGGACTGGGCCTGTGTGGGGTTCTTCCCAGCCTGCCCTGCCCGCGCAGATCTG